GAGGCCCAGCCTCACCGCCGCATCGTGGGCCTTCTGGACAGCCTTGAGTTGTTGTATGAGAACCAGACTCGTGAGCATTAAATGAAAGGAGTTGTCATAAACTTCTTCATTTTTCTTTGTAAATAGGGGCACTTCCACAGCATGTGGTTAAAATCACTGCGACTCTGGCAGTCCGGACAAAGTTCTGAAATATCGGAGTAATGGCTATAGGTTACGAGGCTAGGGCATGTTCCCGTCTGAAGCATGCGAAGAGAGATTGCCTGTGGCCTAGACAACTTTTCGTGTGGCAATGGAAAAGACCTACGGCCTAACTGATAATGCTTCGTGATCTCATTGAAGGTAGTCAAATGTCCCTAAAATGAAGGGTGGGGACTGACTCCTTTCTCCGAGAAGCACAAGTCCCGGTACGGTAAGCGAAGCCTCGCGCCATGGAGTGGGCTAGCTCGTTGACATTGGGAAGGCCTCCGACCCTCAAGCTAAGGTGAGCAGGGAACCAAATAATAGTGTGGTGGGTGAGTTCCTTGTGAGCGAGAGTTCTCAAAATTTCCTTGCACACGGAACCAGAAGCGAAGGCCCTAGCAGCGGATTTAGAGTCCGTATAAATATCAGCCCTTTGTGGATCAAGGAGTGCTAGTGCAATAGCCATCTGTTCTGCTTTGTAAGAAGAAGTGGTTCGAACCGACGCCGAGGATAAAATCTTACCCTTAGTACTTACGAATACAGCCGCAAAGCGAGCGGAAACGCCATACTGGGCGGCATGAACAAAGCATGAAACAGACGAGTGTTTCTGGGCTTGAGCTAAAAGAGAGGAGGCTCAAGCTACACGCCTGCCCGGGTTGTATTGTGGATGCATATTTCGTGGAAGGGGGCACACTTTGATGCGAGAGTGTATATAATCATCGAGTGGCGTATTTTGCACTTCGAGCGTCAGGGGGTTGACTCCAGTGTCAACCAGAATCTTTCTCCCCGCTGGTGTGATCGAAAGCCTGGCAACTTGTGCCGTTTGTTGAGCCTCGATAACTTCTTCAAGCGTGTTGTGGAGTCCAAGTTTCGTAAGGTTCTCAGTGCTTGTGCGCATAGGAATGCCAAGAACTTTCTTGATGCTTTTCCTAATGAGGATGTTCCATTTATTTCTTTCATGGAGTTGCCACCTGTGCACAGATGCGACATAGCTTATGTGGCTCATCAAGAATGCATGGGATAGTCTGAGGAGGTTGTGCTCTCGAAGACCACCCCAACTGTTGGAAATGCGTGAGATTAGTCAGATGACCCCTTCCACCTTAGAAGTCAGACGGTCGATCGTGCGGCCGTTCTGTCCATTATAACCTCGATAATCATGCCCAGAACACGTGTGAAGTCCACCCTTGGAATATGCTGGCCCGATGCCGTGTGCAGCCTAATGTAGATGTCAGCCAGTGGTTGCCAGTTTTTGAGTTTGGGTCCCCATTTCGTGGGTCGATATAAGAGAAGTTCGGACTTTGCTGGCGAGAGCTTGAGGCCCATTTCATTTACGTAGACTTCAACACAGTCTACGGCCTCTTGAAGAGAGCTCTCCACAGAGCCCTCCGAGCCACCGACACTTTATATGGTGATGTCGTCCGCGTAGATGGCGAACTTGATGCCTTCTTAGTTTGAGAGTTTTGCAGCAAGGCCGCACATTGCAATGTTAAAAAGCAGTGGGGAGACGACCGAGTCCTGCGGGGTGCCGAAGGAACCAAGATCGTAGGGCTCAGACTTGAGATCCCCAAGCTGTATAGTAGCTTTTTTATTCCCGAGGAACAAGCTGGTGAACTTGTGAATGTTGGCTCCTAAGCTGAGAGAAGAGATGGAGGCAAGTATGTGGGAGTGCGAGACATTGTCAAAGGCCTTTTCAAGATCCAGACCGAGAATAGCTCTAACGTCTTTTGTCTCCTAATCTATGATGTGATGCTTCAGCATTTTCATGACATCCTGAGTAAATAGGTGTGGTCTAAAACCTACCATGTTTTACGGGAACAGGTTAGTCTTCTCTATGTGCTTTGATATTCGAGCGTTGATGACATGCTCGGCGACCTTGCCTATACAGGACGTCAGTGAAATGGGTCGTAAGTTGCTAAAACTAGGACTCCGGCCAGGTTTAGGTATGAGAATAACCGACGCCCTTTTCCATTGCTCAGGGAAAGTCCCAGTCTCCCAAATATGATTGATTTCTTTGGTGAGGTAGGTGACAGAGCCATCGTCTAAATTGCGTAGTGTCTTGTTTGTAATGCCATCCGGGCCCGGGCTGGAGTTCCCATTAAGATTGTTTAAGATGGTCCGGACCTCTGCTTCCTGGAAGGGCTTGTCCAATTCGAAGGCTGGTCATCCCGTGTATTGCGCGTAGCCGGACGGAGGCCGGGTTGTGTCCAAAGGGAGGTATCTCTGTGCCAGGCACATCGTTATTTCCGTGTCCGATTTAACCTTTCTTTCTGAGCGCAGTATTCGGTCTACCAAGCGCGTCTGGTTGGATTTAGATTTGGTGTCTTGCAGCAGGTGTTTGAGGAGGTTCCATTTTCCCTCAACTTTCATCTGACCATCCACCTTGTTGCAAATCTCGTCCCATTGCTGCTTTTCCAGCGCCTAACAGTAAGTCGTTATTGCCTGGTTAAGACTTGCGGTGCCTTTTCGCAGTCTTCCGATTCATACGATGTGCCTTCCACCTGGCTAGGAGGGCGCTTTTAGCCTCAATAAGATGAGCAAGCCTGCTATCCATTTTATTGACCGGAAGATCAGTCTCTATTGTTTTGGTGGCCGACTTGACGTCTTCGACCAGCTGAGACACCCACTTCCCGAAATTCGGTGAGTCATTAATCTCCTCCACGCTCTCCGCTTTGATCTTACGGAAGAAGTCCCAATCTGTGAATTTGAAAGCTTTAGGGGGCTTTGCTTGAATTTGTAATGTCGTACTGAGAATACAATGATCACTCCCCAAGTTTTCTCCCAAGTTTAACCTTGATACCTCCACCGTGGTTGCGACACAGGTGAGGTCTGGGATAGTATCCCTAGAGCGAGAATTCCAGTGCGGGTAAGAAACGTGGGGTCAGTGACCAAAGTAAAATTCAGATCCGATACCACTTGCTAGAGCTCGGCTCCCTTGGCAGTGGTGCGAGGGTAGCCCCAAGCTTGATGGGGTGCATTGAAATCTCCCGCTATAACTATGGGTGCGTCCACTTTCCTAGCGATCGTAACGGCTTTCGATAACAATGAGGTAAAGCGATGGTGCCTGCCTTTTGGAGAGCTATATATGTGTAGTATGAAAATGCTATTTTTAAGGTTGCTGTCAGGTATAATTTATAAAAGAGAGTGTTCAATCTTGCCATTTGCCATGTGCAAATTGTGCTCATTGTAAGTGTACTTCTTGGACACAAACGTGCAGATACCGCGGCCATCTGGAGGTTTCGTGATGTGATGGGTGTAGCCTGGTAGGCTCATTGTTTCCGTAAGCGTCTCCTGTAGCATAATAACATGTGGTCGAATTGGCTGGGGTTTAATATACTGCTGGAGAGCTGCCTTTTTTGACTGGAAGCCCCAGCAGTTCCACTGCCAAATTACGAAATTGTTAAGGTGTCCCGCCATTGTTGGGACCCTCAAAAGCTCTATCCTGAGAGACGCTACGGGTTGCCACGTTCTGCACGATCCTGACCTTAGGTATTACTTGGGCCGGAGTAGCCTCGGCAAATTGTAAAGCTTTAACTTGGCCAGCCTCGATCTTTGTGACTCTGCTGTTCAATACCGCAATCGACTCGACCACCGCCCTGAGAGCATTCAAGCCCCGAGAGCCCTGAGAGGTCAATTGGTATTCTTGACCTCTGTTTTGAAATCTCTGTCCTCATCATTGGCCGGTTGTGCTAGCGCTCTCATTTTTGTTGGTTTTGCCCCTGGATAGACATCCACGGGTACCTCATCGTGACTCGCATCCGATGTGACCTCCGTACTGGGAACTGTGTTTCAAGGAGACGGAGACGAAACATGTGATTTCCTTAAGTCGTCTATTTCAGCCCTGAGTTGCTCGACAATGGTCCTAAGATTAGCATTTTCCCTTTGCATCTGCGCATATATATCTGAGTGTTGCTCTCGATTGGTACCCCCCTTTACAGTATGCAGTGCGCGTGGAGAGGAAGAAGAAACTGCCGAACACTTGATAATGTTCTGTAAAGGGCTTCACCCTATAGTTCAGGATGATGGCACAGAGTTTTTCAAAGCACTAGGATTTAGGGACAGGGAGGGCAAAATAGACTTTAAGCGGGTAGACTTAACTAGAAGGAGGTTATCTGATTGGTGGCTAAAGTCAAGGCACGAGTGAAAATTAAACCCTTCACTGCAAAGTACCCGTCCAACTTTACTATTTAAAGGAAAAAAAAGGTAAATCTAGTGGTTAGTTCACTAAGTATTACGGCTAGGTGGCGTTAGCCGGCGCCCGATCTAAAGGGTACAGCCACATACATCCGTCCATCCATCCATCCATCCAGGGATATGGCGAGGAAAGGTCACGTGACACAACCCAATCACCGCGGCTCTACGGCGGTGTCGGCGCGCTGAAAACAGATGCGATACTCTGACATTTTTTCCAGTGACTCTAGTTGGAGTCGTGAATCGGGGAAAGGGAGGACCGAATGTCACTGATGAGGAGTGGGAAAGCGGTTTTTATGTGACTGAGAGCTTATTGCGCCAGGCAGCGCGTTGCAATTATGTTTGGCTCACGCGCACTCGGAAGTCTATTGATAGGCTTGGTTTTCTGACCATGCTCAAAAAGTGTTGCAGGGCCCCTTTGACACCACCGACTTGTTTGTTTTGACGCCTGCTGCGATTTTAGAATTCTGATGCGTTAAGGAAACTCCTTTCACCACATGGCATTCATATGGTGTTTTTCCCAAAGCAGTTTCAACAAACGGCATGACTCTGTGGTAAAACGTGTGCTTCTCCCACAGACGGCAACGCAGACGACGGTTTTCTCGGGCAACGAAGCCGATATTTCTGCTCAGGTGGACGCGCGCAGCCTGACCACGGGCGAGGTGGTGTTCCGCGACAGCATGGCGCACGGCGTGGCGGGCATCGTGCAGGCCGACTACTGCCTGGACGGACGCGAGCAACTCATCGTGGTCTCGGTCTCGGGCGAAGTCCGTGGCTACCTGCCGGCCTCGGCTGAGCTCCGACAGCAGATGGTCGACGCCACCTTCGAGCAGGACACAGTGCGCGAGCTGAGCCGCAAGAAACAGGTCCGTCACATCGGCCGTGCGCATGCAGAGCCACTCAAATTACGAAACAGGTTCATCTTGGAGGCTGGCCTTCGTACCAAGTGTCTGGGAATAATTTTCGTCCAACAAATGTATTGGAACACACGTACTGAAAAACTACCTGGCACTAGGATTTCGGGCAGCATGTTATTCCGGGTGCGTTTCTCGCTACCTAATTAAGGCAGTGAAACTCTTCATCTATGAATTTTCTACCTCACGTTTAGTACCGTCATCTGTTTTTGGAGTACGTCCACATTCACAAAAATGCGTAAATTGCACGTCATACAGAAAACGGTTGTTCGGACCATAGCAAATGTTCTTCATTAAAGTCACACCACTCCCATATTTCACATGAATATACTGACTCTACCTGAACATGCAGCTTCCTAAAATTAACTGGGACTGCGATCGTCAGCGACAATGAGAATTACGGGCAGTACATGGATTTGCCTAGTCTTCGTACATACGGGCCACCGACCGCACCCGTGGCTTTGTTTATTGCATTGTTTCAGTTTTGTTTAGAATAAATGAGGGAACCCTTTAGAACTTCGTGACCCGATTCAAGTTTGTGAGCCTACAACATAAAGGTGGTGACGCGTAACTGATAAACTATTTCCGATTTTTGTTTGGTGACAAAACAGCTTCAAGTCATGCCAAGCTAAATGGCACACGAAGATTATGCAAATCCACATGTACTACTCATAATTCCCACGTTGGCTGAAGCGCCATGCGCTGCAGCTCCCATGCACACTAGCGCCCGAGTTCCCTCTAGTGTATATATAGGAAACTGTGTACCAGAATACTACCACGCAATCCTTGTGAAATAATACCAGGCAGAATTAAAAGGCGACAACATTTTATAAACTACTGCCGACCTAAACCACCTAACTATACTTTATAATCACACGTGGGTTATTTCACGCATACGCACTACTTCCAAAAAATGGTGCAATTTCTCTAACCGTTTCACTTGAAAGCCATACCAACTGAGCGAAATTACACACATGTATTTTTCTTTTACTGTCTGACTATACTTATTTGTGTTGTTACTCCGACTTGTTTACAGGTTTTTTTTTTTTAATTTCTCAAGCATTTCTCTCCTCACACATACCCCTATGCATGCTCTGATTGAAGATGTACATGCCCAATCTGACTGCTAATCTTGTATTTCTTGCATCGTTACACTCTATTATAATTTCGTACGTGTAAAGAAAGAATTACGATCATTTGAGTTAATTCCTCGGCTACTTCTACACTAGCTGAAGAGGGAAGGTGTTTCAGATTCGGAATGGACGCCCCTCGATGACTCGAGTGCTCGGTGACAACATGAAGTAAGAGCCGTGGACCCCTGAAGAGACGCTTTATTGCAGCCAGAACCTCCGCTCTCCCATCCAAACACCCTCTTTTCAACCCTCGGTTGAACAAAGGGTCTCCACACAAGCCACTCACACGCGTGGGCTCTAATCGCCACAACAAAACGCAAAAACACTTTCACAACAGGCACTGCATTGGAAACAAGCACGTAACCAAATGTAACACGCGAAGGTCTCCGCGTGTCACACCGTCTCCCATGCCAGGCCGACCTCGGTCAGTAGCCGTTCTCCGATTAAACATTGCTTCGTAGAAGCCTTCTTAAGCGCGGTGAGTACAACCAGTACAGCGCGGTGAGGCCTTATGCGTTGACCGGGTGGCGTTGGTACCGCATTGCACGAGAGAGAGAAAAGAAAGAGGGCGAGGAGGACTCCAGCGCCAGCGTCAGGATTGCTCGCGTGCTATTATTGGTTCACCTCTGGAGGTGACGTGCTGGTGACGCGCGCGCTGGTGCAGCAGCGACCCCGACTAAACTTGCACAGCTGATCCTCATTTTCAGCCATGCTCCCCGCTCCTCTCCGACTAAGCAGCGCAGCCCCCGCCATAATCCGTGGGGATGATGGACGGGGTTGGGGACACACAATAGGGAGCGAAGAAAAGACTTTTGTTGTGTGCTCGGGCTGCCTATTCACACACCGCGGAAGCCTCCGAGAGGGCGTTGTTAACTCCCGCAAAAAAGAAAAGGTAAAAAAAAAGGAAAAAGGCGCGTGTTGCAATTAGTTACATAAACATGCAGGGTGGCAGAAAGAAGGCAAAATGGTTAGAGATTGAGGAGCAGTTAAACAAAGAACAGATAGGCGTGTATGCGGTTACAGAAACACACCTTAGAGACTTGGAAGAGCCACCACATATTAAAAATTATGTTTGGGAAGGGTGTAACAGGACCATATCGGAAAGGAAAGGTGGGGGTGTAGGAATGCTAATTCACCGCGGAGCCAAATGGGTTAGAGTGAAACAGACGTGTTCAGAGCACCTCTGGGTTCTGGGCACAGTAGGTGGAAAGGGAACGTGGCTAGGGGTAGCCTACTTGTGGACGGGGAATAACTGCAGAGAAAGAATCAGAAGATAGTGGATTGCATGAGTGCGGATATTAAGGAATTTGGTAATGGGGCCGAAATCATCCTTCTAGGGGACATGAATGCCCACATACATGACCTTGACGGATATTCAGACACCAATGGGAAGTTATTACTAGATCTTTGCGAGCAACATAGTCTGGAGATAGTTAACACGGGGCCTAAATGTGACGGCCAGATCACATGGGAAGTCGGAAACAAGCAATCAAGTATTGATTATTGTCTCATGACTGAAGGAATTTACCACAAACTGACAGAAATGAGGATAGACGAGGAAGGCATTAACAGCTTGGGTAGTGATCATAAACGAATAACATTACAAATGGGATACGAAACTGAAAATATGAGCATGGAATCAAAGTCTGGCAGCTCGTATTTAAATGACAAACAAATAATAAATATAGCCGCAAGAGTCGAGGAAGAAGTAGGCGAAATACCAGGCAAGGACTGGGAGTATAGGGAGCTGTTACATCTAATGACGAAGGAGATAGGGAAAGAGAAGAAAACTGTTTGCTGGAAAGGAAAAAGGAAGCCAAAAAGTTCGTGGAACAAGGAAATCCGGGAGGCGATCGAGAAGCGACGCGAAGCATCACGGGAGCATAGAAAGGCAAAAAAGGAGAAGCGGCCGCAGGACGAAGTCAAAAAAATATGGGAAATATATTTAGAGAAAAAATCCCTTGTACAGAAATTGGTAGAGGCAAAAATTAAAGGTGAAAGTGAACGCTGGATGACAGAGATACACGAAAAAAAGGAGGCCGCGCCTAGGATTTTTTGGAGCCACATAAAGGCGCTAGGTAGGAAGTCTGTCACAACGCAACAACATATTCTAGATGAAGGAGGAAATCAATTGGAAGGGTACGAAGCGCTAGGTTACATCCAAAAGGTAACAGCCGATTCGTTTCAAAAGAGCGTCCAGGGGATCTCCCCGGTGAGTAAAAGTGTGGCGGAGAAAGCAACAGAGGAAGAGCTAGTACTTGATAATTTCAACTGGAAAAAGGCCGAAGGAAAAATTCCAAAGCGCACTGCCGCGGGTTTAGATGGGATTCCCGTTAGCCTCATTAACGAACTAGGACATAACACTAAAGAAGCATTGTTAAAAGCAGTAGAAAAAAGCTTAAAGGACGGACAAATACCGGACAGTTGGCGACAAAGTAGAATGCACTTAATCTATAAAGGCAAGGGAGAAAAGGACAAGATTCGCTCGTATAGACCACTAACCATTACATCGGTACTATACAGGTTGGCGATGCAAGCAGTAAAAATGAAAATAGAAACATGGGCCGAACATAACGATATTTTGGGAGAACTTCAGAACGGATTTCGAGTCGACAGGCGGTTAGACGATAACCTGTTTGTTCTCACTCAGTGTATAGAAATATCTAAAATAGAGAATAGGCCCTTGTACGTGGCTTTTCTAGACATCACTGGGGCATACGACAACGTTAATCAGGAAATTTTGTGGGATATATTGAAAGGAATGGGCATGGGCGACGACTGTATACAGCTTTTGAGGGAGATATACCGAGAAAATACAGTTTGCATAGAGTGGGAAGGAATGCGTAGCAAAGAGAACGTTGAGGTTAGCAGGGGTCTGAGACAGGGATGTCCTTTGTCCCCGCTGTTATTCATGCTGTACATGGTGAGTATGGAAAAAGCGCTAGAAGGTAGCAACATTGGTTTTAATCTGTCACACAAACAGGGCGGCATGATGATTGAGCAGAAGCTTCCAGGTTTATTTTATGCGGACGATATCGTCTTATTTGCGGACAGTCGAGATGATATACAGCAGCTGGCGAATATATGCGGAAGGGAAGGTGAAGCTCTTGGACTAGGATTCAGTGTAACGAAGTGTGGTTTGATGGTATTCAATGATCCCTGTGATCAGACGGTGTCCATACAAGGCCAAGAAATACCGAGGGTAAGTGAATACAAGTACCTTGGAGTATGGGTAAATGAGAGTGATAGATACATGGAGGTACAGGAAAAAGCCTCGGCAGCAAAAGGAAAAAGGAATGCGGCAATAATGAAGCACAGAGCGTTGTGGGGATACAATAGGTATGAGGTGCTTCGAGGTCTGTGGAAGGGTGTAATGGTTCCAGGGCTTACTTTTGGGAACTCAGTGGTGTGCATGAGGGCAGAGGTGCAATCGGGAATGGATGTAAATCAAAGGACTGTGGGACGCCTCGCGTTGGGTGCTCACGGGAAGACGACAAACGAGGCTGTAAAGGGCGATATGGGGTGGGCAGGTTTTGAGGCGAGGGAAGCGCAGAGCAAAATAAGGTTCGAAGAAAGGCTAAGAAATATGAAGGAGAGTAGATGGGCAGAGAAGGTGTTCCGTTATTTGTATAGGAAGAGCGTGGACACACAGTGGAGAAAAAGAACTAGAAGACTCACTAGTAAATATACGGCTGGTATTGTGAGCCATATGTCAACAAAGAGCGTTAAGGGACAAGTCAGGGAGGCGGAGAGGATTTACTGGATGGCAGCTATGGAGAAAAAACCGGCTTTGAGTAACTACCGAAAGGGCAAAAATGA